ACCTTTATTTAATCAAAGTTTTATTGTAGATTCGGTACAAATTTGGGGAGGGTGCAATGGAATCGCGCCGACCAAACCGATCCACAATCGAACTGATTGGTTGAATTTCATTGAGAAGGTTTTGATTGGCTAATAATTTTGAGCTCATCTGAGGTAGCCAATCAAATCGATTTAAATTTCAACCAGAAACCATGCCACAACACGAAATTTCACTCGAAAGCACAATATAGCACATACTTCTTTCAACGGCCCACTTTTTGCATCTAACGTCATCGATCGGGTACCCGGTACAACTGTAGAATGTATGACGGAAGGAGTTTCACGTCGGGCAATTGCTTCATACACTGACGACTGCAGCGTACTTTCATGTCCGTTTGAAGGTGATGCTTTTGTGTGGTGAATCACGTGCAAAATCCAATCAATAAGATAGTAGTACTTTACAACACTTGCAAATATTTATCTTTTGACCTTATATACGGGGAGTTATACCGGAGATACTGTTAATAGTGTATTAATACCGGTAGTACTATTAATAGTATAAGGTAAGAAGCCAGTGAGCGCAGATTTCTATATTTACAAACCTGTGACAATTTATAGTTCCATTTTCTCGGCCCATCAGGTCTATCCATATACAAACACCAAGTGCAAGTTATCTTGGGTTGTTTGTTGCACCACCATTTTGGAAACAATCTTGTCTCGTGATATGCACGCGGCGAAGCGAAGTCGGCCGGCAGACACATGTACAGCACCACCGCTACAACCCGACTCCATCAATGCAGCCAAACCACGTGTGCGTGACCACGCGGCACACACTCCTCTCGTCGCCGTCGCAGCGAATTCGGATGGCGACACTTCCCAAATGGACGAGTCCGTTTTGGAAGCGATGGAGAAAACCCTACTGCGGTGCATTCAGTTTGTCCTTGGCTCAATCGATCCCGTACAGGCAAGGAACGTGGCTCAATGTGTCCTACACGTATGTCGCCGCTTGCCCGTGCTATGTCCACTCGCCCAAGCGTTGGAAGCGAATGCGGATGTACAGAAACTGCTGCAACATGCCGATTCATCGTCATCTATGGAACTTTCGGTCCATACATCTTCTCGATGGCAATGGTTGTGGCCGTTTGGAAGTCGAACGCCGGTGGGGTCTCCGCGCGGCGGTGCCATGCATCACATGTCTGCGTTTGATTGCGACCAAAGTGGGGATGCCGACACAGATGACGAGGACGATACGTCCAATATTGGATGGGCCGTGCGATATATGCAGCGTGAAGCCAAGTTGCCTCAGGAGGTCCATCGACGGATGCAGTTTATGATGCACACGCAAGTGCCATTGAACCTATTCCGCGTCGAAGTCAAATACGCCGAGAATGAAGATCTGGACGGCGCCGTCGTGGGCAACGTCTCCCCAGAAAGCTTCCCTCCCACGCCCATCGGACGTGAATACCACACACAACGCGCGACGCATTATACCGTGGCAGTGTTGGACCGCGCGAACCAGGCGCTCCTGCATCTCAATGCGTGTACTTTGACAGATCATTGAAGCACTTGTCTTAATTTAACGGTATATATTTGGTGCTACATGGCACTGTCGTCCACAGCGCGTCTTGGGTGGTTGGACATGATACTTTGGTGCCTGCCTTCTTCATGAGATTGAGTCAGATCTTTGACGATGACGTCATCCTGATCTGAGGAATCTTCAACATACTGGCTTGTTCAAAGCTATGTTTCTTTCTACACGTCTCCTCTTGTGTCAATGGAGGAGACATGTATACTAAGACTTAGCGACACTTGTATAATGCTCGCAAGCGATGCATGATCACTCTGGCCGTGGGTTTTCAGATGTTGATACTTCCAGATACGAAGTACACTTCAAAGTATTGTACATGGACATAAGATGCATGGACTTCATAGAGCAGCAGATGGTGTGGTCATAGAGCAGCAGATGGTGTGGTCGTCCTTTGCAAGAACAGAAACTGTTGGAAATATCAAATTAAAGAGGTTTTCTTGGTAGTTATTGTCTCGGCAGTTTCATCGCCGCATCAATGTATGCATCCATGGCAATGGCTAAGCAAAGGAATGAGGATAAGGCTTGGAAAGGTGCGATACACCCAGTGGTCGAGGTCGAAGTTGCGATGGCTATCACTTCAGTTCCAACTACTACGACACGCCAAAATCCGAGTAGTAAAATAGTTAAATGCAAACCAACGATGCCACGCTTAAAAGAACGACGCTAGAGATCAATTTGGAAATGGACGAGGAGGCAGCAGTGGGCATGGGACTTCCCATGGTAGGCCTCGGTGTCATGGGTCTCTTGGTCGAGGTCGCCAGCGCTGTCGTGGTCGACGGTGGCGGGGCGGTACGGATAAACGTTTGCTTGGGAGGCGCCGACGAATCGGACGGCACGAAGTCCGGATTGGAACCCTCGTCTTTGTCCTCGATAGGAGACCCGTCCGTGCCATTGTTCAGCACCGATTCACATAACGATGACGTGTGAATAGCCATGTCGAAGAGGTTGGCAATTTCCTTGGACGTAACGTCGATCATGGCATCGCAGTCGGGCAGCAACGTCCACGGCTTGAGGGCGTCTTTGCATGCAGGAATGGAGCACACTTGGGCGAACAAGGCGTCGTTCATGGAGATCTGGTCCCACTTGTCCACAGGGGACGAGAAGTTTGCAGTGAAGTCGCCCCATAGCGCCTGGCATTCGGCTGGTGCCACGAGGCCGTCGCCGAGGGCCTTCTCGATCAGCACCTGCTCCGTCTCGTTGCAAGGATTCAACGGCTTCGATTCCACCATCTCGGCATGGACATATCGTGTCAGTGTAGCAAGAAGCAGAACTGCGGCTCGAACGCGCATGATGGAGGATGCAGTTGGTCGTCGTCGCATCGTGTAGAAATTCGGGAAGTGAAGCTTGACTGGCATTATTGCATTTGCCACCATATGGTGGTTTCTTCGAGTCAAACATCCCTCAAATAGGTCGAAACGTTGGATTTTGTAGTTTAACGTAATCGAATTTAGGTATTTAACGCAAAATGTAGCAGACAAAACAATTTAACGCTTTTTAATATTGTAGATTCGGTACAAATTCCAGATCCCGCCCAAACGAATCTCGCACTACTTTACCACGCACTGAACCTCACCGCGACATTTGATTGGATATTAAGAAAATTCTTTTCGCTGATTGGCTAAAATATTCTTTCTATTTTCCAAGTCCTTTCTGGGGATTATTTACAGCCAGTACTATTAATAGTCGACAGCTTATAGGTAGAATTGGGAAATTTGAAAGAAATTCACATACAGTACTTCGAAGTATGAATTTCCAATTTTGTCCGCGATTCGAAAATCGATCACAAATCTCGCCGTGAAATTTCATTGGCTTTTCCCAATCCGCAGAGAGCACGAAGTAAAAAGTAAAAATAATGTAGCCAATCAGCGACAATAACTTTCAAAATGACCAATGGGAGCGTTGTGATCGATTAAACGGGGTCCGAAAATTCGTTAATTACTACAAATCAATAC